TATTGAGTGGGCTTGACTTGTGCACCAATAAGATTCAAAATAATAATAATAAAAACAAGACAACAATAGAACAGAGATGAGATGACCCTGATATCCCAAGTAAAAGTGCCAAAAAATTGACATATGTATTTATATGTTACTAGCTGTACCATCGCTGTGGCACATTGGGGTTGAATTGATGACAAATTAGGACCAAAAAAACAAATAGAAAAAATATTTTTTAAGCGTGTTGTATATCGTGTGAAAGTTTGCGCTCAATCGGTGCAGAAGTTGAGTTTTTAAAGCGTTCACTTCAAAAACTTTTAAACCAACTTAACTTTTATATATTGACCTGTTGGTCTAGTGGTTAATGACCCTGATTACTAAGCCTTAGGTCGTGGGTTCGATTCCCACCCAGAACAAATATTGTGTGATGAGTACGGTCATTTGTGCTGTCTGGGTGTAATTTAGATATTTAGCTATAATATGTATGTATTTAAAATATATAAGTATGTTTATCAGCAGCCTGGTTACCATAGTACAGGCTCTGCCTAGTTTGGGATCAGATGGGCTTGTGTGAGATGTGAGAAATTATTATTGTATATAGATTGCAAGGCCCAACATAGACTTGTCTGCCGTCACCAGCGCAGACTACAGTGAATGACTGTAGTTAAAGATAAGCCTAATATAAACAAGCGACATTGTTTTTAGAATGTAATAAGTTTTCTATTCATTCTATGGTATCATGTCGCTACACATGTATAAACCGTGGTACTGTAAAATAATTGACTGCACGGATGGCGTAGTGGTTTAAGTTCAAACCCCACATGGCACGACACTTTGTGTGATCCACAAATTGTTGTACTGAGTCTAATGCGGGCGTTGTCTTTAAAAAAAAAATAATTGTACTAGCTCTGTTTATCCCTTGCTCAGCTTATGAAATAACCCAAAGCACCTTAATTACTGTTAGGTATAAGTAAGGTACGGGGGGGGGGGGGTCGTCTACTCGTCTGTAGATGACCCGAGGTATGTCAGGGCACCAGGGACTTCCTTTCTAGGGTATACCTGGTTCCCCGGCTATTAGTACCCGGCGACGGCGTGCGGTTTTAGTCGGTTCGAGTCCGACATGCCACCGACAGGTGGTATCCGAGGGGATTTCCGCACGGAAAAAAAAAAAAAAGGTATAAGTAAGGTATGAAAACTAGTTCAACACTTGAGCCCACGCAGTAAAAATGAGTACCTGACACCTTAGTGGTCACTTAATTATCTCTTGATATCACGGGGTCCTTTATACTTTTTGTCCTACGTGAACAACATGAGTAATGTTATTGTAAATTGCACCTGCTATCGATTTGCAGACGACACCTGTGTTTTCATATCAGACATACACCCCTAACAAAGTCCAAGAACGATTATAGAAGGATTTTGATAATCTGACTTGACTCCGGCAAAATTAAACTCCTTGTCATAAAATCCAAGTACCTCCATCGTACCCTTTTTTTTTCTGTGCGGAATTCCGCTCGGATACCACTTACCGGATGCAATGTCGGACTCGAACCGACTAAAACCGCACCAGGGAACCAGGTGTACCCTAGAAAGGAAATCCCTTTTGCCCCGACGTACCTCTGGCCATCTACGGCGGGTAGACGACCCACCCTGTGTGAGAACCCCCATGTTCCCTCTGTGCTCTCGGAAAGGCGCGCGCGCTTCGTAACGCGCTCGCCGCCACCTCGGCCTGCTTCTGCTCGGGTGACAGATGGCCTCACCTGTCACCCCCAGGCCTGCGCTTATGGAGGACGGAGGTCGTTCTGCGACCTCCGGCGCCTGAGTCGTCTGCGGTACCTGGCCCGTTCCCGAGCCAGCCATACCTCCATCGTACCCTAATATATAGAACATTAAGAAACAGACTATGATCATGATAGAAGATATATAGGCTATCATAGTCTATTCTTTCTGTAATAATAGTTGTTACACAACACCTATAAATACTGTTGTATTTAGGCGTACATATACAGATAACACACTTAGTTGCAAAATTCACATAGAACATTTCTGTAACAACTGTAGCGAGTTCCACGTAGTGAAGAGAGTACCATGTACTGTAGCGAGTACCACGTAGTAAAGCGAATACTGCGCTCTGTAGCGAATATCACGTAGCAAAACGAGTACTCCGTACTGCAGCGAGTATCACGTAGGCAGCGAGTAGCATGTAACTTAGCAAATTAATACTACGTAGCGTAGGCACCACATCCCAATAGGGTAGGAGATAGGGTTAAAAATAATGTACAAGTGACAAATAAACAATACAAGTAACAAAGTTAAATTTCGACAAAGAAATCTTGCAGAAGTTTTTTTGCGGTCGCTACCCCGCTTACTACTACGCTGAGTGCTGTGGGTCCGATCCCCACATGGGACGACACTTTGTATGATCCACAAATTGTTGTTCTGAGTCTAGGTGTTCTTTGTGTCCGTTTCATGTATGTTTGTAAAGTCCCCCGCGTTATCTTTAAAAAAAAAAAACTCAACATTTTAGTGCATGCTGTGGCGTCCTATAATTGAAGGAGTGCACTATAGCCAAAACCTTATTGTTTGTAAAAAGTGATTTTATTGTGTACACCTTTAGCTGGTGGTCCTCAATGATAAGTAAATAAACTCTACAGGGAAAATAAATCAGACCATGTTATTCATTCTGACTTATTTGCCAGATATCACAGAAACGTATTGTTGTATTACAAATAGCTAAAGACATTCTATTTATAAGTACAAAGCCAGCGAAACCACAAATAATTCATGCACGTAACATTGTCATACTCGGTTTGACGTCACGAGAAAGTCGATATGTCCTCAATGACAAACGTGACGGTCAATGCATCACTTACGGTACATCTACGTCTTCTTTTGTTTTTATTTCGTGCTGAAACCTTTGATTGAGTTAAAATCTTCTGTTACATTTAAACGTTATTTTTTGGGAGAACGGAGAGTATAATTTCTGTAAAATAATCTCTAAAATTTAAAAGGGTCGTTTTAACCCATCCAAATGTTGCTTATAGCGATTAATGCATTATGCATGCTAAGACTTTAATGGCTACTCATTTGATTTTTTTTACAATAAAGCTTATTTTATTTAACAAACCACAAACTTTTATAACTACAGACAATATATATTATTTTTTTGTAATTCAAACCCTAAGCGAAATTAATGGTTCATTTCGCTTAGGGTTTCAATCTTGTCATTTTTTATTTTAAAAACAACTTATGACTAAAGCGTGCTTATAAACTTAACAGGAAATACTTACATAATTTCCCATGCACCACATTAAACACAGTAAACAGTTTAAAAAAAAAAAACGGGTAAGAGAAACAGATTTCTCTTTCTTATGGTATACCTTATCTTTTTAAGGGATACCATACCCAACAAGATCTGAGACTGCAGCGTAGCCGTATGCTTTTCCCCTAAATTAAAAATAACAAAACAAATACATCAATATTACTCAGATTATATGACACAGACACATTCCTCCACACACTCCACACGTTTGCTGCCTGTTATAATCAATCTTCATCACTTCGAACCCTTTCTCTCACCCACTAGGCCAGAAAAGATCTCAAGTTCCCCACTCGTCTAGTTGTGTAATCTTTTTTGGAGTTTGTTCCGTTCATTTTGACCTTGACCTCACTGTAGCTTATATTGTCTGTCCCGAACATATTAGGTAGCAACGTAGTAATATTATATTAGGTAGCAACGACTTTCCGAGATACTCTTGAGATAAATTTCAGGAATGATGATTGCATCATTAAAAGACTCCCGACACGAAAACAAAACTTTAAAAACCAACAACTGCTCATTGAGACTGTTCTAAAAAGCACAAAACATTATGCTGTAATTTTGTAAGAGGTTGGCTATCCCGCAGACTACTTGATGCAGCACCGATTTCGAGGCTACCATATCGTGGAAATACCATCCAAAGTAACAGTATACCAAATTTCAGATCAATTGGACCTGTGGATTTTTTTATTTTAGTGAGATCTCTTCATCACCTGGAAAGTTAGCTGATGATCTTCAAAATGTATAGTTAAGAATCATCTGGGTCGTATCGGCTTTCGAATAAAAATTCAAATCGAAATTGGTCTATCCATTCGGGAGCTATGATGCCACAGACAGACAGATACACAGATTAAACTTAAAACACCCATGTTTTCAGTCGCGTGTTAAATATGTAACTGACAATCTATACTAATATCATACGGCTTATGAGTTTGTTTGTATGGGACCTTAATGTTTTGGAATTTTAGGAACTAGGAAAAAATTCTTCTAGCGTTTTGTAGTCCATTTATCGAGGAAGGCGAGGAAGGCTGCTATATAATATAGCGTTGCTACCAATAGGAGAATGTTGCAGAAACGAGAGAAATTAATTCCTTTTGGGAGACGCAGGCTAAGTTGGACGGGTCAGCTATTTGATTCATAGTATTCCACACAAAGTTCAACAATTATTTCAATATTGAGAATGACATTCTAGACATATTAGGTATATTTAAAATTGATCTGTGGAATCTAATTGTCTGAACATGATGAAGTGTAGGTGTCTGAAATTTTTTTTAGATTGTGTATGTATGAAATTATATTTGTGTTAAGTCTGACGTACAGGAAGGACAGTATCTGGAGTGAGTAGTTAAATCATCATCATCAACAGCCTTTAATAGTTAACTTCTGGACCTAGGCCTCTCCTTAGAAAGGAGATTTTGGCCTACTATACAAGCATAGTATTCAAGTTTGTGTCAAGTTATCCTTCTCTTTGCAGTGCTGTTGTCCTATGTAGTTTTCTCCCTTAGTCGGCTTTTACGACACCCACGGGTTGAACAGGGGTTTTGACACTCTCACTCACAGTAGTTAAATGCTAGATACCAATAGTTTTCAGTTCCCTCAATAATGTTATATTTTATCGTAGAAAAATATATTTACTTGACCTAAGTATTTAAATATGCTTGAATTCAATTGATTTTACGATTTTGTATTGTTCCAGGGCCCCTTAACACACGATATCAATGCAGCGATGACGTCAGGCCTAAAAATGGAGTCGAAAGGCACCCAAATCCACCTATCGCTGACGGGGCGCGGTAGCCGTGGTGAACTGAACGATAAGGTCATGTTCGCACAAGTCAAGTCCCCACCCTTCGCGGAACAGCTCAACAATGGTCAGGTTTTGGGGTAAGTGTCAATGTTATCATTTGATTTTTGCCTCGAGAGCAACTGCCATGATAATTAAGAAGTATACAATACGGCCGTCTGCTTGGTGCCAACTCTTCATGAGAATGTAACCCTTTTCCAACGGTACAAAAGGGTACGTGAATTAGGAAAATGTAAAGGGAATGAGTTAGGGTAAAGGATAGCGCAAGTCTCAGATGGGAAACTTGGCTGAGACTGCAGAACCTTGAAATGGTCAAGTACGGTCAAAGTATTTGTTTGTCACCGTGGGTGAACCATAATTTGCCACAATTTGCCACGATTAACACCGGTTTTCTGTAAGGCTGTCACTCCGGTCAAGCTAGGCTATAGCTTGACCGGAGTGACTGCCTCACAGAAAACTGGTGTTAATCTATTTTTACGTTGCTAAACCGAGTGGTCACTGGAGAAAAAACTGCCCTCCTGATTCTTGGAGGTGGAGGGACCAAAAAGAGACAAGTCAGATGGCCTGTCTGCTCGTTTGCTCCTTGTAGGCCACTGGATATACACATCAACTGACCATTGCGTGTCTGCGGAAGTATGTTTAACATTTTGGCCTGAGGTTTATAATGAGAAATATTGTTGACTGTAATTAAAATACTTAGTGTATTTGGTATTTTAATTAAACATAAAAAATATTTAAATGTGCTTACTGACGTTAGTATGCACGTAAAAATTCAACGTTACAAAAGTTAGTGCTTTTTAATTGGTTTTTACTGTGGTTCCGGCTCTTCAAAGATCAAGATAATTTTTGTGTTCAGTATATATTTCATTTTTCATTTTTAGTTTTGTGTTTTTCCACTGCCTGGCAAAGGCCTTTCTCTCGCCCTTCCACATCTCTCTGTCGTGTGCTAGCTCGGACCAGTCTTTTCGGCAGCTGTCTAGATCGTCCCGCCATCGTCGCCTGGGCCTAACGCGCTGTCGTTTGGCCCCAAGTTTTGCTAATTTGTGCTCATAGATCCATCGGCATATACTTCATAACTAACTGTGATAAAATTCCTATAATATCAGTAATTGAGTTCGAAATCCTACAACACATTAAAATGTATATACACATAAGAAGAGGTCGATTGAGGTAGTTGAATTCTAATTCTCAGTCGTCTGGAAATTGGGGACCGAAAACCAATTTCGGGTTAAGAATAAGTTTGTTCCCTTATGAAATGAGAAGGTCGGTATATATTGAGTTGGAAAACAAATTGGACGTAGAGAATATGTTATGAATTATATTTATAAAATACCAGCTGACCCGGCAAACGTTGTTTTGCCGGGTCAGCTGGAATTTTACAAATATAATCTGGTATTTTACATACGAAATGATCCATTATTTAAGGGTGAAAATTTAAAGTTGTATGTATTTTTCAATGCTAAATAATTATAAAATAAAAATATTAAGTTTAAGTTTTTTTGTCAAAAAAAAGATATTTAGGGGTGAGTCACCCTTATCATTTAGGGGTATGAAAAATGGATGTTGGCTGATTCTCAGACCTACCCGATATGCACACAAACTTTCATGAAAATCGGTCTAGCCGTTTCGGAGGAGTTTGGTAACAAACAACTCCGAAACGGGAACGGTTAGAAGATTACATTTGACGTTTTGATATAAGTTCTAAAGAAGACTTGGCAGAGCAGCAATGTTTGAACTTAGTAAATTTTGTAATGGTCTGTGTCAGTGTATTTTTTAATACACCTTAAAAAGGAGGCCTTTAAGCTCCTTCATTTATGAACCAATTCCTTTTTTTTATGACGTTGCTTTAGTTTACATTTAAATTTTATGGAAAAATACCATCCCTTATGGTCGATAATTAATAAAATAATAATAATTGATAACGACATAGACGTATCAAAGTTGATAGAAATTATGGTTCATTATTTATCATACAAAACATTAGGAGGTAATTACTTCACCGTCTAACATTGCGGGTCCAGGATTGTTTATGACACCTCTTTGTCTGGTTGTTGTAAATATAAATCTGTATTTTCAACATTAATTTCAATAGAATTAATAAAGGTTAAGGCGTCTTACTTATAATCAAGTGATTCGAAATCAAACGTGTGCAATACTGACTGACTTTTCACAAACACTTAGCTTGGTTGGTTCGATTAACAAAAATAATAGTAATGCATACCCCCCCTTCCCCACTCTCTTATAATAGGCCGGTAAGCCGTGAATGTAGTTCAGATCGTCGACTCATGCACGGTCTTCACACAGCGACCATAAGTTCGACTGCAAAATATAAATCTCGCTTCGACGATACTTAACGTGAAAAATTAGGTTATTCACGAACGCATCTCGTCCAGATATATACTTGAGGTATTCCAGATCAGGTTTGTTATTGATTATCGTTAATAATGATTATTTTCTCGTTATGAACTGATGTGAAACATGAATACATGAAAAATTTTAAAAGAAAAGATAAAATCTTAAGGTCATCAAACTTCCAAACCAGTCTCTTCACAATCTACTTTTTACTAGTTTAGTTTTTTTACTGATGAGCAAAAACATCTTTAGTTTCTTCACGACCAGGCGTTATATTATTATATTAATTGAGCAGAATATTTAAAGTTTTTTTCCTCCTCTGTTCTTAGAAGAAATTTTGTGAATGTTTGTGTGCTAAGCAAGATTCAATACATTAGCTTGTCATAGATTGATTGACAGGTAGATAAATATTTTAAAAATTATGGCTGTTTCTCGTGGATATGCTCAATATAATAGTTCGAATTCTTTTTTTTTTTTTTTTTAAAGACAACTCCCGCATTAGGAATAAATCCTGTGTCGCGGGGGACTTTACAAACATACATGAAACGGACACAAAGAACACCCATTTCACCCACCTCATAACAACAATTTGTGGATCACACAAAGTGTCGTCCCATGTGGGGTTTGAACCCACAACACTCGGCGTAGTAGGAAGCGGCGTGGCGACCGCTTAAACCACTACGCCATCCGTGCAGTCTAATTAATTTTAAACTTCGAACACTTATCAAGTGCCGACGACAATAGAATAATTAGATAAATTTGGCCGATTATCCTGATCAGGATCAATGGTTTTTTCCCTACCTTAAAATACGGTATCTTTTGCTACGAACTAAGAGGCGTGTGCTGAAGCATTTCTGACTTACTTGTTACTTTTATAGACTCTCTCTCTCTCTCATTAAGAGAAAATAGTCATCATTAATGATAAAAAAAGCAAAAATAAATAAATTGTAGTTTAAAAGAAACTGAAAATCACGCTTATGTAACTAGGTGAACTAAAAATTCGATAATTATTTTCTATTTGATAAAAAAAAATATGTATCGTAAAAAGCAAGCTTTTCAAGATATTTTATAACATAATAACTTTACCAATATATGTCAATAAAATATTTTTACAACAATTGAGATTTAACTCCCCACGCATATTTTACAAAAGTTACAAAACGAGTGTCTTTTTGGAATAAGGGTTGAGACATCACTACCCGAAAAACTCTAGTAAACCTCTAGAAATAATCAAGCTTGTTTATGATCTTCGTGATATGATTAGAAATGGAAATCATACAATTAAGTAAGATTTAGTAAATACGACCAGATGCTGATATGAAATAGCTGTCTTGACTAATGTTTTTTTTAGATTTTTCCAATTCTGATATACAAATCGTTTTTATTTCAAAATAAATAGTGTAGCCTAAAACCAGTCTGAGCTTTTGCTCAGATACAAAATGAACTGAACACACTGAACACAGATAAAAAATGATTTGTAGTTGTGTTAAAGATTCACATACATTTAAATTCACGCCCTATTTTACATGAGCGCATAATCCTCAATTATTTAAGTAAAATTTACATTTCGGTGTGAATGAAGAAATGAAGTGATTTGAAATTTTTTATATACTGAAAAATGCACCATAAGTTTTAAATATAAAGTGGAAGCCAAAGTTTATTAGTGATGTTACAATCAATAACACCTTTGGGCTCCTGAAAGCATAGATGACATCACACACATCAACAGCCTTTAATAGACCACTGCTGGACATAGGCCTTTCATTAGAAAGGAGCTTTTGGCCTACTATACCACGCTGGCCAAACGGGTTGGTATAGGGTTTGTGTCAGTCCCGCCTGCCACCACTGCGACTGCAGTGAGGACTCGGCCCAGCACACGCTGGCGGTCTGCCCCGCATGGGCGACGCAGCGCCGGGCCCTCACTGCAGTCATCGGAGTGGATCTCTCGCTACCGGCCGTAGTACGCTCCATGGCCGGTAGCGACAGTTGTTTTACCGCGGTCGCAACCTTCTGCGAGGAAGTAATCTCGCAGAAGGAGGCGGCGGAGAAGGCCCGGGAGGACGACCTCCACTCGGACCCGATCCGCCGCCGGCCAACCGGTGAGGCGCGCCTATCACCGCCTCATGCCGCCCTGAGTGTGGCCACGGGTGGACGGGGTGGGTTTCCCCTCCACCCGCATTAGTTTGGCCAGCCGCGAGGGGGCGGCGTCCGCGTGTGCCGGACGTCGCCTAAAGAGAGGAAAAGGAAAAAAAAAAAAAGGGTTTGTGTCAAGTTTTCCTTTTCTCTGCAGTGCCCTTGTCCTGCGTAGAAAAATAAAAAGCATATATAAATGCATAGAAATGTTCAATGTTAATAAAGTTTAATAAAAATGGGCTAAAATAGACTACACATGTCATCTTACATGTTAGGCACAACGTGTGAGAATGCTTTTTAGTTCTGAAGAGTAGGTCAGAACTATCCGAAGCTGGCTGGCTTGTATGAATGGTTAGGGATAGTAGAAGTTTGAAAGGTTTGTTAGTCTGTTATCTCTGCAAAACTCGAAGCCGTGACTTAAGATATTAACAAGCTAAAAAAAGGGAAGGTATTTAAAATTTACAAACCGATTTAAGTCTTTTAAATTATCATATATCCAGTGATACTCTCCCATTTAAGAGGAATCTAACGACACTTTGCATGCCGAAATCCATTTTGACTACAGAGCGTTTATAGAAATACCTATACATACCTA